TATCTAATATAATCTACGGTTTGAGGATTCAAGGGTTTCTTGTGGATGCATTGGCTCGAGGGGCCTCGGGGACATCAAAGAAAATGGGAAAAGGAAAATTATAATGCGCTAGAATTTTGAAGAGTGGATCTTTCGCCCCGATCTTTTCTTAACTTTTATATTACTAATACTAGATCACAAAGTTTGTAGATAGAACTAGATCTCCATTCAGAAAAATCTAAAAAATCTAAAAAATTCGGAATAAGTTTAAAATAATCTGAATTATGTGTATACAAATTTTCAATAAATTCTATCCGTAAATAAGAAAGTCAAAAGTGTTATTTTTTTGAGGTTTTTGGTGGTAAAGAGTGGTTCAAAACAGGGGTGGCCAGATAATAAAGAGTCCAACTTAAATACAAATGTTATTAGTTTTTAAGGACCTCTGCTCGGCTCCCAGCTAACATATAGAACATTGTTACTTGTAATATCACTTCTCTATTCTACACTCTATACTCTAGACTTCTAATCCTTCTTGATCTGAGTATACAAAATCTCTGCAAAGCTAGCAATTGTCGAATTGGGAGCAAGCAGCTGCTGAAATGGGATATCTACCTTGAACTCCGTGAAAATCCAGTTACGAAATTCTGCACCAATCATACTATCCAACCCATAACTTGCAATTGCCCGAGCCTGAGGGTTAATTTCATCCTTATTAATCATCAACACCGTTGAAAGACCGTGTACGAGATGTTCCGATATATAATTGACCGCCTCTTCCTTGTCTAACGAATTCTCAATTTTGGTCAGGATACTGCTGCTTTTTGTGACGCCATCATTCGCGATTTGGTTTTCCATCTTGGCGAGAATTATACTGAGTCGAGGCTCCAGAGGCCATGTTACTTTTGTTTCGGTTGCCGAGATGGCTTTGGCTAGTCGAGAAGGCTCGATTCCTGCGATGATATGATCGGCTTCCGGCTGGTGAGCCATCATAGCAACTTCAAAGGAGGCAAGCATCTCACTTTCATCGATGCCATAAAAGCCTTTTCTGCGAAGAGACGTCTCGATCTCGGGATGATCGGCAACGTATCCAATACCGACGACCATGGGCAAGATGAGTGAAATACCGGTGAGGCCTTGTTTCCTTCGATGACGAGCGAGAAAATCAAGGAATGAATTCGCTGGAAGTTTGTTAGATTGGTTTGAAATTTCAGAGTAGGAGATTGCCTGAATTACCTGCGGCATAGTTGCTCTGGCCAGCTGAGCCTAGGGTTCCGGAAACTGAGCTCGTCATGACGAAAAAGTCCAACTCGATCTTGTTTGAGAAGACTTCATGGAGATTTAGACACCCTTTAACCTTCGGTTCTAGGACTTGTTGCCAACTATCAATATCCATGTTTTGAAATAGTTTGTCCTGTATATGTGCGGTTAGATGGGTAGGCATCTCACAAGGATAAGTGTATACATACTTTTAGGACCATTGCTGCATGCACAACTCCACGTATTGGGTACTTTGGATCAATTGAAGCAATCGCCTCCAAAATTTGTGGTTTTGATGCTACATTGGCACGTAACACAACTGCATTCACGCCACTCGCTTTGAGACCTTCAACCAAAGCTAGAGCTGAAGGACTATCGGTGCCAGAACGGGACAGAAAGACAAGATGCCTCGCGCCCCTTTCAACCATCCACGATGTCAAGCTTCTGCCTAGACCACCGAGACACCCGATGAGAAGATATGAAGCGTCGGACCTAAGTTGGAGCCGAGATGGTGTTGGTAGAACCTGAGATGATGCACAAATTAGTTCATGTAAGAGAGCGAAGGTGTAACGTAACTCTTGTGGTATGCATACTTTAAATAGTGAAGTAGGTTGGTACTCAAGCACCAATTTACCATCTCCAAGGTTGTGCGGGAACGAACTGAAAACTTCGTCGATTTGAGACGGATCCCTAACGGTAAGTGGGCCGATTGCTGATATCTCTTTATTTTTGTACATTTCCACACATTGTTGGAGCAATCTATAATATAAGTCAGTAATACAGACCATTAACGATCAATTTTGCGTTGTGCTCACCTTGACAGTATCTCGGGCCTCTCTTCGTAGAGGTCCTGTAGGTCATAAGTAAACAAGCTACAACCGCGTGCTATGTTCGAGAGGTTTGGTAGCACACTATCACGTTGCTTCCCGAACGTAACTATTCGACTAAAGGGAGCCAATACTCTACTGCACTCCAGCAGAATAGCGATATCGTGCGATTGAGAGGTGAAGATAATATCAGGACCTCTACCCCCCGTTAGACGCTGAATTTGGATTGCCACATCTTCAATTCCAGGACGTATGATTTGCTCGCGCGGAAGACCCAAATCAAGAAGTAATTTGGTGGTGGAATCTACGTTGGTGATGACAATGGGCTTGGCCTGGGTGTTTTTGCATAATTGAATAGCTGCTAGACCAACAGATCCACAGCCGTCAATTATAGCAACAACATCGCCTTTTCCCATAGAAGCAAGGTTGTATAGACCATAAATTGCTGTGCAAAATGCTGTTGGTATGGTGGCCATGGTATCGAACGGCTCGTTAGCGATCCGTTGAACAAATTGGGCTTTTGTTCGTTGCTTTGTTGAAAGCGTGTCGAAGGAAAACGCAACAACTCGATCACCAACTTGGAAATCCGAAGACTCAGAGCCAATCTGGGTGATTATTCCCGATATCTCATGACTGAATGTCGTGGAGTCGCTGGAACCAGAAACAACAAGCGAATCTTGTTCATTGATGCCGACGGCCTTGACTTCAATCTCGATAAAATCGGACGGAAGATTTTGGTGCACTCGCGAATCATCCTGGAAGCAGATCTTCCCAGCTTCCAACTGACCCTTGAAAGCAACCCCTTCTTGGATTGATGATAGTCGTGGCTTGCTTGTTCCAGGTACAAAATTTGCATTGATTGCTCTAGCTGGAGCCAACCGGCCAATGTGAACTGAGTTGTTGTCAATGAAGTATTCTGTCTCCTCATTTTTCCCAAGAGATTGGCGCTCCAGTATATCAAAGAGAACTTTGATAACCATACTATCTGAGCTAATCCCGAAATCGAAATCAAGAGTAGCGAGATCCAGGGATGACTGCTCTTGTCTCACAGCACGGGACCATCCAAGTGCCATACCGTATTCCGGCTCGCATTTGGAAATTAAACTACCACATGTAACCCAGATCAGTGATCGAGCATTGCCTGTCAAAAATTTGATGGTTTTAAGATCCTCGTCTTGAAGTGTCGCCAAAACTGGGTTTTCCAATTCAACGAGCATTATAACATGTTCATGAGATTGGCTTCCGACAGAGTTTAGTGGACCGGTGTAAACATTCCATCCGTTTTCGATACAAAACTGTTCCAATAAGTGAACAAAAGGTGATGGTTGCGTTTGATATACCTGGGGGAAGGTCAGTAAAAGAAGCAATATAGACATTAATACTCACCAAAAGCACATTTCTGACAGGTAATGTGGGATTTTGTTCGTTTACTGACACATGCATATCCTTGTTGACTTTTGATAATATAATTTCTCCCCCGTTATGGGATTTGTCTGTTGTGCTCAGCTTGTGACTAAATCCCGCCAACTGAAGTGAGCCTTCAATATTACTCAGCGCTAACATTTTTATCAGCTTTAGGACCATTTTAAGCAATAGAGGATGTTTGAAAAGTCGCACTTACCTTGGCTTGATTCTAGGATAAGAGTTCCAGTCGGATTGAGTAACTCATAAATACGTTCAAATGGCTTCGGATATTGCAAAGACGGCTGTAAAGGAGTTAGCAGGATGGTTTAACCAACAATCAATTACAGAAGAAGCTTACATATGAGCCTATAATGAGGTCATAAGTATTGGCAACCGTGTCTGCGATTCGAATATTTGAGCTGAGGTCAATTTGTAGACACTTGAATGTGTTTGAGTCGTCTGAATTTTTAGAACTTGCAAGAGTAATGTCGGCTGATGGGAGTGCCTCTATCGTAGCTGCAGCTATCTCATCATTCAAAGCAAGTATCTTAATCGATGCATCTTTGTGGAGGTATAAATCAACTAAACCAACCAGGGTAGATGGCAAAGGCACACCCAAGTTGCTTGAGTGCAGATAACTAACATCCTGCTTCAGTATAAGTTCGGAATAGGGCTCTCTTTGAACACCGCTTTCTTGAAGGATAACTGCTTTGTATAAAAGAGCTCGCACATTGATGACATCTACAAGAAGCTCTCCATCATGAGAGATTAATTGAGAGTTGGCAATGAAAGCTCGATTTCCTCCGCCTGTGATCCAGGAATGACCACTAGCTTTGGGATTTTCCAGCTGGTGCGAAGCAGGTTGCCAGATTGTCACCTCATCAAAGTTTGTGAGGATGGTACCAGCCGTGGCATCAGCTAGTCGACCGGCAAATCTGGCCACGAGCGGTAATTGAAAGCAGGAATCGAGAGAAGCAGGGTGAATTACATAACGCGATTCTCCAGGTATGAGGCCGCAGTCCTGTTTCACGACTAGGTCTGCTGTGGCAGCATGAGTGGCATTATCTGTGCGAGTATCAAAAATGTTTTGGAATGCTATGCCATAATTAAACGCGAAATCGTGTAGACGTTCAATCCACAACCGGAATGGATAATGGAGAGGTAGTTCCGGTGGCGTAACTGGAGATCGGCCTTGAGATAGTGTTAGCTAACATTTTAAAACTATTTACGCCGCTATTATCTGCCAGTTACGCTCTCACTCACCCTTGTTTCGTTTGTTAATTCCAATTGTTCCATGTCCATGTTTTTTCCAGCTTCCATAGGAATTGGAAGAGACGGTCCATGTGTACCATGTTTTTGATATGCCTTCTTCGAGGAGTTCTGATTCATTTGTTGTCCGGCTCATGCTGAAAAGTGTCTCAACGCCTTCATTATTGTCTGGGATCACCAAGGCCATGGATAGCGTGATATCTCTCAACGTATAACTGTCAATATTTTGTGGAAAAGGAGAGTCAGAATTCAGCTGCATTATTGCTTCAATTGCCATTGCGAAATATGCAGCAGCTGGGAAAACGGCTTCTCCGCCCATCTTTTGCTGATTAGCTAAATCCTTCGCACAAATGTGAAATTAAAACACTTACTGAGTGATGCTTTAGCCATGGTAGATCTTTATGGCGTAAAATGTTTCTCCAAACAGGCTCAATGCTTGAAAGGCCGAGGACTCTACGACCCAAAATATCATGACGTGGGTGCTTCTGTCCACGGTGTTCTTGGCTGTTACGAGGCTCCAACCAAAGGTCCTTTTTGTAGTTCCACTGGTATGGTGGAAGATCTACCAAGAATGTTCCACATTTTCTGTGAATTGTTCCATCTGCAGCAAGAGATCCAATCTCAACGACAGCGCCAATGTCTAAACATGCATCTCGAGCCCATAAGTCACCTGCGAGCTTCAATAACTGCTCACCATCATCTTCGCCCCTCTTTAAAGAAGAAAGGTAAGATACGTTCTTGAAACCCTTGTCGATGCAAATCTGGCGAAATGGTCCTGAAAGGGCCGAATGTGGCCCAACTTCGATGACGAGACTGATGAGTGGATTTGTCTCAATCATACGCACAACCGCTTGTTCGAAAAGAACTGGAGTTTCCGAATTTTTTGCCCAGTACACAGAATCTAGGACAGCATCACCTACTGGTTCGCCAGTCACAGACGATACCATGAGGCACTTCTGCTGCTCAGATAACAAGTCTGAGTTCAAAGAGTTAAGAGCCTTGAGTTGAGATTCATACCCCCGAGCCGCATTTTTCATGTGGTGTGAATGATGCGCTTTGCCATCAGTTTTTAGCAAACGCGAAAATATCTTTTCTGCCGTGAGGCGGTCGTTCAATTCTTGGATTACTTCTCTGTCACCACTAATTGTGGCACTTTTCGGCGAATTGTGGCAAGCCACCACCACTCTGTCCTGGTACGGCTCAAAATATGGCAATACATCTGTAGCAGACATGCCAACAGCAAGCATTGCACCGACTTTCTCTACTGAAGAGGCAGCCTTTCCCCTGTAGTAAGCCGCGAATATTGCGTAATTTGCTGAAATTATACCCGCGGCGTAGGCGGCAGCGATCTCGCCTTAAGAGATGTTAGCGAGCATTGGAACAAGATTCATGGTGCTCAGTACTCACCAGATGAGTGGCCTGCGGTGGCAACAGGTTTAACTCCCCAACTTCGAAGTAGATCTACCAGGCCGATTTGAATCGCCGTACATAATGGTTGCGCAAAGACCGCTTCATTTACACAACTGTTAGAGCCAGGGGCACATAGCTCTTCTATTAAATATTAGCTTTGCAACTGCACGCAAAACCCTCTTTAAATACCTTCAATATTCCAGGAGGGGGGATCTGGTAGGGTAGATAAATGGCGATCAAGACTTTGGATTGATTTGAGAAAATGAGGGTATAGTTGTAGTAAGCGGGCTCCCATTTGTGGCCACTGCGCACCTTGACCTACGTTGAAAACATAAGTATCTGTCCGTGATTTGGTAATGAGTCTAGGGATAGCATTAATATACCTGTAAATATCAGAGCAACTGTTGCTGGGTCTTTTTCGGCATGCTCGTTTTCGAGGGCACTGCTAAGACTGTTTACATAAGATTCCTTGCGACATACAGCGAAAGCACGACGAGTAAGCTTGGTACGGCGACAAGCTATAGTATATGCAAGGTCTAACATAGGCTGTCCTTTAGCCAGACCAAAACTCAACTGAGCGTGTGCATCAATGTTCCTTTCCAAGGTCTCGCGATCATGAGCAGAGAAAACTAGGAGGTGTGGTCGGTTTAAATTTTCGATGTTCTCATCCCCATTGCTTAAAGCATGAGTAGTTTTATATAGAGAATTGTGATTGTGATAGTGCGGCAACAATGCCTCAACATTCTCAATGATAGCATGTGAATTAGTACCCCCATACCCAAATGCGTTTACGCCAACACGGCGTATTGGGAGATTTGTGGGAAAGGGAGTAGGATCTGTGACGACTCTTACCTGCAGCCCGGACCAATTTACTACTCATTAGTGATTAGCGGAATGTATGGATTGAGTGAGTAAGGAAATGTAACGAACTTTTTTTGTTAAGATTTACAACTCCCGCGGTTGGGGGTATGACCCCCCTTTCAATGGCGAGCACAGTTTTGATGACTGTGGAAATACTGCTCGAGGCTTCGCTGTGTCCCACATTGGGTTTGACCTTGGACAATTCGTTAATTTTGAAAACTTTTAGACTATTGTAAGTCTCATATACGCACGCTTCCAATTAAGATCGGAGATTCTGCCCCGGGATGAGGTCTCATGGTGTCGCCAACCGCATGCACCTCGACTGGATCTCCAACTTGAGTTCCAGTTCCGTGGCATTCCCTTCGGCCCTTATCAGTAACAACGAAGTCATACAAAATGCTGAGCGTCATATTGAACCTACACGTAGCCGGTTAGAACAGGGTCGAGGCCACTCAAATTGTATGCGGCTTTCATCACATCGGCCTGGCCCTGAAAGCTTGGAAATGTAATTGCAGCGTCGCGCACTTTGCCGTTACTGTACATGCATTAGTTCCGGATCTGTATGTGGGGAAGATGTGATATACGCATTCACAGCAGTAGATCTGATTACGGCACGAATAGGGTCGCCGTTCTTTATAGCCAGATCTAGGCGCTTTATGTAAAGCGCACCAACGCCCTCGGCACGACCATATCCATCAGCCGCTTCATCAAATGTGTGGCAGATGTTCGTCGGTGATAATACATTCAGCGCTGCGGTGTTCATTTGCTGATCAACCGACAATATTAGGTTTGCCCCCCCCAACAATTGCAGCTTCACATTCTTCATTCCGAATGGCACTGCACGCGGCATGAAGTGCATACATAGAGGATGAGCATGCGGTATTTATGGCTACGCTGGTTTAAGTCAGTTTAAGAACAGCTAAGTTCAATTTACCTTGAGAAAAGGCTCACCTTGGACCACGCAGGTTAAAGACATGACTGATCCTGTTACTCAAGATCCCAGCATCAATTCCCGTGGTGGTATAAGGATGTCGGAAGTCTGGCTCTTTCAGAGCCATTTGTTGGAAATCATGAGAAAAGGAAGCAGCAAAGCATCCAGTCACATCTTTTCCCACCTGCTCCAGAGTATTGCCACTACTCTCAATTGCTTCATAAACAACTTCCAGAAGCTTACGTTGTTGTGGGTCCATCCAGGCAGCCTCGATTGGAGAAATTTCAAAGACGGCCGGATCAAATTCCACTAAACTGCCATCCAAGAAGTACCCCCCGGAAATATTGAAGCTACCAGGGCGGTTATTGTTTTCGTGTAGATATGAATCAACATTGAACCTGGCTACTGGAACCTTTGCGTTGTTCGCAATACCTTTACTCATAATGAGATCCCAAAACTGTCCTGGGGACCGAACCTTCCCGGGAAGATTGCAACCTAGTGAAGCAATGTTAAAGATCATATACAATATAACATTGAACCGACTCACCCATCCCAATAATGGCAACAGGTACCATCTTACAGTCGAAATCTGTCTCCATATTTGGCAAGCAAACTGATCTCGAAAGCAATTTAGAGTTTGCCTTGAATGATGGTGAAATGGAAGGCTCAGGGCTAGTTTGAACGTATAAATCCGGTCAGATTATATCGAATTATCCAGCTATTTTAACAACGGATTCCGGATTTCTGTTTGATATCAAATTGCAGATCCTGTTGAATAATTCTGCTTTTAATATATTTAGTGTATTGATTGAAACTAAGGATTCAATTTTCGAAAAGTGTATTCAACAATCCGTTGAATAATCCGATTATTTATATGAGAGCGGATTGAAAACAATGTTCAGAAAAGCAGTCATCGTTTTCAGTTAAATGGAAAATCCGGGGATTTATAGGCTTTCATAAACCTATATAGTCTAAAACTGTAATATAGTAGTAGTAGTAGTAAATCAATAATCGATTCAGTCTATCTATGGCTAAAGCTACGCTGACTATGCGATGCGCCTATGTGTGTCTAATTGTACAAAGTACCGTATTCTTTTAGAATATTGGCCGTACGCTAGTAAGGATTAATACTTTAAGGTTAATTTAAAACCAATTAGCTCGCTTTTCAGTGGAGTCAAACGCCTCAGAATAGAAGTTTTTAATAGAAATACTAAACATTTGATAAATAATCTATTAAAGAAGTGAATCAAACAATTCCGGTAGTTATTGTAACCCTAACCCACGAAAAACTCAAACAAATAATCCTTACTAGTGTACGGCCAATATTCCAAAAGAATACGGTAGATAAGAAAAAATAAATGAAATCTGGCCCCTCCCCCCGGGAGCCTGTCCGAGTCTACTATAATAAGGTCCCGTTGTATCGTTCATACTTTAATATATATAGCTTAAAACTTTAACATATAGCTTAAAGCTTAAAACTATATATAGTCTAAAGCTTTAAGCTTTCTTTGAATTAAAGTTTATAATTTAGATGAAAGCTATCCACTCATTTGCTTATTCAACCATTGAATGACAACAGCAAGCTGAAAATTCAAAATACTCCACTCAAATTCGTGGACAATGCATGGACATCTTCTATTAAATTTGGTAAGCCGGCCTTAGTTCAGTCGGCCGCCCTCTTTGCTCAAAATGCTTGATAGCAAAGCATGAGGGTTCTATGATTGCTAAAAAGAGATATAAGGCTGTCGAGTGCTGGAAAGGGTTGGATGATAAACGATCGCCCGAGACTGGCGTTTTACATTATGCCTCGGTACAATTTCTTTCCATCGCCGGCTATTGCGGTTTTTGGATTGACTGGAACTCTTCCTACATCTTGATTGTTTGGGCCAGTGCTTATGGATAGGTTCGTTGCAGAATGCGCTCCTCCAGGCAACTTCGTCTTCGTTACAGACTTGTGCTTCTGCCTGTCAACTTTTTTTAGCCACTTCATTTTCTGTCGCTTAAACCCCTTGTTGTATCCATGTTGCTTGTGCCGATTACTTCAACCGCCATCCTATCATCATTTGTACGGGTCCGTTCTATATCCTCCTGTGCTTTGTGCGTGTTCTTATCGGCGTATACGCCGTCTTCTCTGTCAAGGTCGTGGGGATATGCCGACAACGATGACGAATTCAGGTTGTCCTTTGATTCTGATTTCAATACTAGTGTATCTTGTAGATCGCGAAAACTGTCATTGATATTACTTCTCAGAATTCGTTTGCGAGCAGTAGTGGGTTTCCGAGGGTATTTATTAGATAGTGTATTACTACTCCGAAGCCTCTTTAGTCTTCATATTTGGTAGTAGGTGATGACACTCTAATAATTTAGAGTTGATTCGCATCCTTGATTTACAAGATCTCAAATTGCTCTTAGACATAGATTATCTTTTACTTATTGTTTGTATTCTTTTGTTTATAATAATATTAGATATTTATCAATAATTATTATAAATTATAAAGTATAAAAATAGAATTTATTAGATAAATAGTCTAATCACTATATAAAGAAGAATACTATAGCAGTACTGCTTTAAAAATTAAGAGTGTAGCAAAGTCCTATATGAGGCAATTTATAGATGACTATAATAGTATTATAATATATATATTTTATAGCTCTTAGCTTTTAGAACTGTTGGTTCGAGAGAGATACGGAAGACGTGGTTCCCACTATGCGTAGGCCCCTAAATGTCTATTCGTATTCAATCTAAAGAGCTAGCTAATGAGGAAAATAGTAGGCCTTATATAGGCACTACTGAAAGAGCTAGTCTCTTTCGCATTCGCCTAAATACCTTTGATACAGTAGCCATTGTATTGACGTCATTCCTTTGAAGTGAATACCCTTGTTCACACATATAGTTTGTAGAATAAGATTGTGTATAGAATAATTGAAAAAGTATTCGAGTTCCTTATATGTCCGAGTTCCCCATATGTTACGTTACAAAAAATTGAAAATAGTTTTTCAATCTTATGCTAACCTTTGTTCTATATTCACTCTTCATAGGGTGTTAGAAAGACTATCAAGTCATCATCGATGTACTTTTACAAATGAAATACTCAATCCTGAAAACAGTCTACAAACGGAACTCCAATCTTCTCTTTAATAAATCTCATCACGTCCACTACTTTTTCATCTTCCAACTTCTTAGCTACGAGTTGGAGACCAACAGGTGCATCAATCTGCTCTTCAGCATTATAATGATCATGATACCATTTATCCAAATCATTTCTTGGCTTATAGTTTCCATCCTTAACGTCAATGTCGGGATTGACCTTTGTGACAGGAAATACAATAGCTGGATAATCGAGTAGGTTCCATATAGCTGTGTAGCCTATATGTTTTGATGTACCGTGAGGAGGAGCTGGATGCGGACCCGCTGGGCAAAGAATGAGATCCATTTCTGGTGCTACGGTATTCCATTCTGCGATTGTAATTAGCAAAAGGAATCAAATTTTGATACCACGAGACTCTGTAACTTACCCTGTAAGTACAAGTATTGAAATGTATTCCGTTGCATGCTCCAGTCCCATAATTCTTGATGAGTTAGATTCTGAATCCCTGGAGAGTCTTTTAAATTGTCGTTGACCAGAGGGATACCTGGCTCTCCAGAAAGAGCCAATGTATCTGTGAAGACTTTTCCACCATCAGGCGCATAGAGTTTGGTCTAAATACGATATAATGTTAGTTTAGGAATGATATTCGGGATGGCTTGCAAAGTTTATCACAACTTTTGTCATTGGAGACTCAAGCTTACCAGAATTCTTAGTGCCTTATCATGCTGGTAAGGTTTCCATTCAATGATCTCAACTCCGGGAACTTTTCTCAATTTTTCGACCACTTCATTCAATGCTCTAGTCAGCGGTGGTGAAGGTTTTACAATACCATCATCCCACATAACTCCAATGGTAAGTTTATTTGTGGATGTTTGTCCCGTTGTCCATGGCTTTTGATGTAAACTGAGATCACTGATCCAAGGTTTCGAGTCTAAAGCGACTTTCATGAAAAGATCGATACCTTCAAGTGATCGACACATAGGACCAACGGTACCAGCGATGGTATCGGATCCCATACTGAGAGATGCAAGTCCTACAAATGGAAGACGAAAGTTCGTTGGACGTAAGCCATAAAGTCCACATTGAACTGAAGGAGATCTGATGCTGCCACCTAATGACTATTAAAAGAATTGAAAAACAAAAAAGGTAGGGTATTTGAAATATACCAATGTCCGATCCAATTCCAAGCAAACTCCCGTTAAGAGCTAAGAGGGCGGATTCACCGCCTGACGATCCACCTGGCGACAGTGCTGTATTGTGAGGATTAGTAGTACGACCAATTATATTATTTTCAGTTTCCAACATCATCTTCACCAAAACTTCTGTTAGCAAGGTACAAGATTGCCGTAGATCAAAATTTTATGATCTTTTGAAAACTCACCAGAGCTTGCGGCTCATTGGTTCGCACGTATAGTACTGCACCAGCAGCCAAAAGAATCTTCAAGATATTCGCATCATCGTTACTCTTGCGGCCAACCCAACCAACCATTCCACAAGTGTTATCCAAATCTTTCATACCAATGTGTGCCTTCACACTTATTGGAAGACCATGAAGTGGTCCGATTGGGCCATTCTTAGCAAAGTGCTCATCAAGTTCTTTTGCCCGTGTAATTGCTCGCTCAGGGAGGAGTTCATAGACGCAGTTTACCTGGAAAACGATGTGTTTGTATCAGTTCTTGTGATCATAAAACACATGTAAAAAGGGGCACGAACCAATTTCTGAGCAATCGCAGCACGTCGAAGAAAGGCTTTCGTGACAGCCAAGGAACTAAGCCTTCCAGTAGCAAGAGAAGCCAATAGTTCCTCGACTGAGTCTTCAGTTATCGTAATCTCTTCTGGGCTCAAGTACTTTCGGGGAAGTGAAATTACTCGACGAGGTAGTTTTTCAGTAATTTCGACAATGGCAGGCTCAACTTTGGCGATTGTAGCATCTCGATGCTTTTGGACCTCGCTTGCTATATCCTGCCACTTTGTAACTCCTGCTGAAGCTTTTGATGCCATTTTGAAATTCTAATCTGATGTATATCGATTCTTTCAAAGAGCAAGGCAAAGCTACATTTTATAGAAAGTGATGATCAATACTTGACACTAGTGAGTGTGTTGTCACCATTACATACTGTCCTTTAATTCCGCGTTGTCCTTTGATTCCGCGTATGATTGAAAGTTTATTTTCACCCGGAAACCTTGCGGCTACTGAAAACCCACATCCGGCCGGGATGAACTACCAAAGTGGACTTCGGGAAGCCCGGAACGGGTAGGTAATTCCCAGAAGGGTTTGCTTCTTAGCCTCAACAATACCCAGGTGATTCATATAAATGACGAGAAATCTTGAAGCTGCGATGATAAGTTGAGGAGGACACAACAAAGTGCTCTGGGATATGATCTTAAAGAATCCCCATAATTCCAGATAGAAGTTCGGTGGAGGATGTTCCAAAATACCGGAAGGTCGCGTAAAGTACCCGTCCCGTACAATCCAGGGATGGACACCCGGCCGGGTATAAGTTCCGGGTATGCATTCCAGGTAGATATTCATTTGACTACCTACTACAAGGGCGTGTTTTAATTGGGGGCCCAGATCCATGCACAAGCATTTTCTACACCCAAATTTATTAACTACTTTATTTTTATCATTGTTATTATTTTAAGTAACGTTTGTTTCAGATCTCCCTAAGGGTATTTAGATATACTAAGATAAGGAACTATTTAAGCGGTGTAATCGTTGCGATTAAATTTAGTATCGTACAAGACAATAGCATATCACGGTGGAGCGGAAGTGATTGGATTATAATAGTATAAATGAAAGAATGTGTATCTGTCGAACTATACTTAATTAGAACTCTGATCTCCTCTCGTAGAGAGAAAATAGGATTATATACTGTATGATTATTGAGTATCGATTACGGAAGCGGTGATCAGATCGGAATCCGATCCGGTGATCGTTGTCCGCTCCGGAGTATTCCACATATTGTTAGAGTAAATAATAGTAATAAATCAACTAGGTGTAATGTAGTATAAAGACTTTTCATTAATCCTTCTAAACTATAAAAATTCTATAATTTATAATTATATGTGGGTTAACATTGGCCCGAAATAGCCCTGCAGGGGCTATTCATATACTCTTGTTAGTCTTTATATGAATTAATTGTGATAGAGCCTTTTATATTGTATGTTGTGTTCCGAGATGTGTATGTTTACTTTTCGAATTCGGTTTGTGTAATATAAGAAAATGGAATGCCAAGTGATTGTGTTCGTGTTGTATGTTAAAAGGAAATAAAAACGCTATAAAGCTATAAACAATCAATAAATAATATTTCAATGTATTTATTGCTTTTACTGGTAGATTATTAGGGGCTCTATAAATTCCCTTTAATTTTCTGAATTCGTTTTTTTTTTTAGTAGATTATTTTTTATTATCTTTTTATTAGTTCTTGTTTTATTATGGCTGTTTCTCAATCTATCGGTTTTTAGGCGATTGTGGTTTAATTTGTAGTAGATTTTATTGGTTTGATTATTCTTATATATCTTTATTACTTTAAGTATATTGTATTTTTTGTTCTTAAAGATTTCTGTTATTATGATAAGGATTCTTATATTAAGTGTAATTATTGTTATACTCAGAAAAAGGTTTGTTAGTTAGTGTTTTCTTGATATATTCCCGATGTTAATTTGTTATATCAAACCCAAGCTTTTTGGTAGGCTATTTTTGCTAATAGTCAAAAGAAAGAGAATGCTGAGATTGTGATGATATGTCGAAATGAGTGCTATGTTAGGAGTGTGGAGGTTTTTTTGTGAAAGGAGGATAAGCAGGGTGGTATTAAAAAGTCAAAGTCATTTGAGGTATTATCTTTACTTGCTATAAAGAAATTGGATTGAATAGGTGATTTTATGGAATACCTTGTAAACTTTTATCAAATTATTATCGATTATCCTTTATCTCCTTATAGTGGTGTTTAACTGATTTTTTTAAATTCTAGAATAATTTGCTTGTATTAGATACTGTTGTTCCAGACTTTATTATAAAACTAGTAGTTGTAATAAATTCGAATAATAAAAGTAACTTTATAACTCTAATTATTTACCCCCATGCTATTAATACCCCTGCCCTATCCCCTATTTCTTTAAAAGGTAAGGCTCCAAATGCTGTGAATATATTAGTTGATTTGAAGAATTGCATTCCCCTTTATACTAATATTCAATTATCGTTTTACTCTTATTCCCGTATTTGTTTTTCTATACCCAAAAAGGATTGTCTTAAATATTCTGATAAATTCCTTTTTAATCTTAATAACAATGAAAAGAATAATCCTTTTCTCCATTAGATTATCGATACCCCTCAATATTCTGATATTCTTTATATTTCTAAAGGTAATATCAGTATTACTACTTCTTAAACAAAAAAGTATACTGCTAGAAATTTAATAGTTTTTATTTATCGATTTACCACTGGAAATTCGGTTATTCAAGTTATTCTTTTTTCTTGTAAAGCTTTTTGTACAGTTTCGAAACAAAAAGCAGTATCGGTTGTTACTAATTCCCTTTCTGATTTTCAACATTGGGATATTGGTATTCTATCAAAGACTAAAGCTTCTTATATAAATTGTTTTATTTATACTAGAGAATCTGATGTTGTTGTAAATTCTTCTGAAAGTATTCAATCCCGCAAACATTTATAGATTACTAACAATCTATTAATAAAGGTTTAAAAATTTAATAAGGTTTTTATGAAAATAAAGGAAAAGGAAAGTATGAATAAGAATAAAGTAAATATATTTTCAGTGAATGAAAGTAAATAAAGTAATAGTGATATAGATAATGCTATCTTTAGAGTTTTCCTTTTTATATTAAATCTTTTTGATATATAGGGTAAAAAGATTAATTCTTGCTATAAAACCCTTTTAACATATTAATATAATAATATCTTTATGATAATATTCTTATATTAATTAAAGATATACTCTTATTAGAAATAAGGCTTTATAAAAGAAATAGCGATAATCTCATTAATTAAGTATTAATAAAAATTCAAATAATATTGATTCTAATATTTATAAATTAAAACCTAAAGCATTCCAGAGATATTAGGATAAATTGGTATACTTAGCAATAGTATATAATATACCAGTAAATAAAGGATTATATTCTCATTTTTATTAGAATAGAAAGAAGTAAAGGAAGGAATATTGCGAATAGCTTTATATTATTAATAATTCGCTTATGGGTATATAGCAAAACCCTATTATCTTATAGCTTTTTTTCTTTTTTTTTTTGAATTGTATATTAATAATTCTTTTCTTTTATTATATTCTTTCAATACTTCTTTTGTATTGTTGAGATTACAGAAGGCTTTTTATGTATTTTCTGCTAATTAGTAGTTTTTTTATTGGACTAGGTATTAAATATTTCTGTTTTTTTTTCTATATGCTATAATCTTTTTTATTTCGTATTCTAAATAATTGTCTATCTTCTCTAATAGCAGTGGGTCAGTGATACCCTATCATTCATATTATAATTCTAATAGGAAAATATAAAAGATATTGTGAATTTTATAAATAAATGGTAGTTTAAGTTTATATGCTTAATTACTAGTTTTTATACCTATTACTTAAAAAGAATCTATAAATCTATCCAAAAACTTTTTTTTAGATTGAAGTTATTTAATATTTCGGATGCTTAATATTACTTTATTTTCGATATTATATTACTAGGTTATCGTGCTATCTATATCCTTTGATTTTCAATCTATAGCTGTTTGCTATAATTCTTTTAATTTTTCCCTTTTTTTATTAAAAAAGGCAATTCGCTTGTATACTGCTAATACCCTTCTTGTAATATTGGTGTTCTCGTCAATATAATAGAATATTGATAGAAATCTGTATATCGCTTGGAATGGGCTTATATTTATTGTACTATGTTATATAGCATTATAAGTGAATTTTGCGAATGGTAATAGTAAAGATCAATTATTTTATTAATAATTAGAGTAACAATTAATATAGTAAATCAGATTTTGGTTTTATTGTTTTATTTGTTTATCGGTTTAAGAATGGAATGTAATAAACAACTTATATCGTATTCACAGATAAAAAAGAAAACTACTTTAAAACTTGCTTACAAACTGTAATTCCCTATCTAACATAATACTTTCTGATATTTCAAAATCCTTAAATATACTTTGTATTAATATTTAAATAAATTCTGATAAAATAATTGTTTTATTAATGGATATATATTGGGTAAGCTTTATAAACCTATTAATAATCACTAAAACCATATTATACACATGCTTACCTAATTTCAATAGGAATAAATTTATAATAAAATCTATAATTATTTCTTTTCAAGGTTTATAAGGAATAGGGAAGATCTGTAACTTATTGTAAGGCTTATACCTTTTGATAATGATATATTAATATATTGTATATATTTTAATATACATTTTTATATTCTTTTTTATTGAAGGTTAGAAGTATTTAGATCTTAAGATTTCTAAAGTTTTAGAAATACTCTAATATCCATTTATAAGGTTATTATAATAGGCTTTTAAGATCTCTACTTTCAAAGTAAAGTCTGGCGGTATATAAGCGTTTTTATTGTATTTAAAAAGCCTATTAATACTTATCTACCAAGATAAAACAACTTTAATAAAGTATAGTTTTTGATTCAGATATTCTTTATTCTTTATAAAATCGTTATTCACTTGAAAATATAATAAAGTATTTCTTATCGTCTTTAATACTAATTCAAATATTATTTTGTTTTCTATTAAAATATAAACTATCCGATATAATATCGACTATTTGCAATCAGTTTTAATTAGTAAACACTTGAATTTACAAAACAATAAGCTATACCCTTCTCTTTATAAAAAACCTATAACATTATACAGAAACTCTGTTTTTTTAATAAAGGAATTTTGAAACAAATTTATAATCATTAATCTATTTTTCAGTTTATTCTAAAGAATCGGAAATATATTATTTATATCATTCGTATTAATAGTA